AAAAAAAAAAAAAAAAAAAAAAAAAAAAAAAATGATTAAGAGAAGAATTCAAATGGAACAATAAAAAACCACCACTGATAAATTATGATTAGTTTTTGTTCACAAAAAAAGAAAATTTATGATTGAAAACAATAGAAATAAAAAAAAATTTATTTTTTCATTGTTCTTCATTTCTGCTCCATCAAAACAAAAGAAAAAAAACAATGATAACGAAAGAGATTGGATTGAGAAATCCAATGCAATTGCTGTTCACCTACCATTTCCACAGAAATTTCGAGCATCTTCCATTTTAATCTTAACATTTTTGGCGCACTCTTGTCCATCGATGACACTAATTGATGCTTGTTTGATCTGAAATTATACTGCACCTGTTATTTCAAAGGAAAAAAAAGACTGATACAGAAAACACACAGTTTTATGTTGTTCTATGCCAAACGTATCATCAACAAAACACAACCCAAAATCCAACATCATCGACCTTTAACATCGGCATCGTTTTTGAACGTTTTAAAAATCAGAGTGATAAAAAAAACAAAAGTTTTATTTATGAATTCTGATAGTCTAAAAGACATAAATAAAGAAGGAAAAATGATTCTTAACAAAAACAACAACAAAACATGATGATACGAAAAGAACAAAGATCAATTAAAACATTTGAAATTTTGATTATTTTAAGTTCCATACAGCTGAAGCTCTTCTAGCACGTATTTTGTGCTTTTCTAAGTATTTCAAGAAAATAAAAAAAAATGGTGAAAAAAAATAATACCTATTAAATTTTTCCAACAAATTTTACATTACCATGAAAACTACTTAAGCACTAAATACTAGAACCACGTAAAACTGTCCCTTCTTCCTCCTCACCTTCCCCCTTTTTCCTAAAAAAATAATAATGACAGCATCTATATCTGCAAGTAAGAACTTCTGGTTGAACAAAAATTTCAGAGAAACAGTTTGGAGAAAAAGAATCGTCTTCCAACAAATGGACAGCCGATCATTTAACTAAATACGACAGCAAAAAACCGAATTCTTTGAGAAGTTCATGAATTCAGCATTAGTATCAACAGCTGAAAAGACCACCAGTTCTACTGGGCCATTACCCATCAAAACAGTCTCGGTCTTCCTTTTGTACAAAACTTTTTCACCAGTCAGAGATTTTGACCAAAAAAACAAACTTTGTTTCCTTTTTTTATTTTTTTTTTACTCAGCTTCTTACCAAAAATCATCTAATCAACAGCACCATCTGAATTACCGGCCAGCCAGCCAGTCAATCAACCAGTCAATCATCGAACCAAGCAAGAAAAAAAAAAAAAAAAACTAACAAAAAAATATTGAAAAACAAAAATTAGACTGTATGGAACTATAATCTTGTATAAAAAATTGTATAAGATAACGAAAAAAAAATTGTAACAGACCTAATCACCACCTTTTAATTGTCGTACCTACATTCTATTGTCACCAACAAAGTTATTTATAGCCAAATAAAACAAAAATGTTTCTTTTTTCTTCTGCATAAATAAAACAAGAAAAGGAAAGAAAATTCATTTTTACTTAGATGTAAAATCTTTGTCAACAATATTTTCGCAAGAAAAATTTGACCAATGAATACTGATGACGTAAAAATTATCAAATGACACTTTCGCTAGTCTACTGGAAAGATTAAGCGAAAAACGCAAGGAGCAGAGAATAGCAAGACCAAAGGGACGGGAATGGGGTAGGTAACGAATGGAGGTAGTGACGGCAATGCTTCGAAATCTGTACCAAGTTCAACATCATATTTGCTTCTTGCAATGTCGTCATCTACATTTTGTTATTGTCACCAGAATCAGCAGTAGTAGGAGCAGTAACAGGAGCACGAGCATAAGCAGGGGCAGCACCAGTTGAAGCAGCAGCAAGAAGCAGCATGGTTACTCAGACGTCTCAACATAATAAATCTTCACTTAAATTATAACGATCATCTGGACGTTACAACTACATCTTCAATTATTTGCTGGTTGATGACGTTTTTTTTTACCTAAACAATAATTAGTGTTTTGTTCTTTCGTTGATACAAAACAGAAAACGAAGAACAACGGAAAAACTCAATTTCTTGCAGGATGATATGTAAATAAACAAGGAATTTATAACGAAACGAAAAATAAATCAATGTTGAATAGTAAGCAGATAATGATCTTTTTTTCTCCGTCTTCTTCTTCTTCTTCTCCCTCTTCCTCGTCTCTGATAAACAAATACCTAACGGAATGGTCTGCAAATGTATATAGTTGTTTCTATGTTAACAACAAAAACAAGGCACTTATTTTGTCCGAAAAAGGACAGTCGTCGTTAGATAAACAAGTAAAAGAATGAAAAATTGCCAAAAAAAAATTTAAGTTAAGTTTGAAGCTTTTTTCTTCTTTCAAAACATTCTCTTCTCTACCTGACTGCATTCGTTGAAAATATAAATCATATATATATGTATATTCATAATTTCAGAGTAAAACTGTTGTTACTGTTAATCTTGTTGCCGTTTGGTAAAATCATAAGATTTATTGCAAAAGGTGAGAAGGAAGAAAAATTAAAAAAAAAAAAAGGAAAAATTGCAAAACAGCAACAGGAAAAGAACAAAAAAAAGAAAAAAAATAGCAAAATAAAGCCCGAAACAATAATCGAATATAAAAGGGTAACAATTGAAGAAATAAATGAGAAAAAAATCAGCAAAATTCAGTAATATTCAATGAAAAGTGATTCGATTAGAAATTTGGTTAGACACTTAGCGAACTTTAAGTTCAGCAAATTTTTGTGACATTATTGCAGACCATTGCCGTCAACAGATTCTACTAACTCGGCAGTAAACTTGGCTATTATTTACTCTTCCCATACAAACAGAATAGTTTGAGACAACTGGCTGGTTAGTCGCCCTTTTGTCTCAACAAACGGACAGAATACCTAAGCTCTATGAAGAAAGAGTTATAAAAGAGATTTTTTTTGGCTAACAAAACCGATATACTGAAAATGACACAAAAAGCAGTAAATGGATGATAAACAGAGTGAAATGTAGGTAGATGATCGAACAATCAGCAAACGGTTTTTT